ACTACTACTACTACCACGCTTGCCCGTACTCCGCTCTGTTCCCTCCTCCTCCTCTCCTCCTCCTCCTCCTCCTACTGCTCCTCCTCCTCCAGCTCTTCGTCTTGTCAACGCGGGTTCTTTGCGTTTCCCGTCTGGCGGCCTGCCGGCCGAACACGACGAGGTCGAGCAGCGAGTTCGCACCCAGGCGGTTCGCGCCTCGGGCGGCCCCCGGCTGCGCGGGCCCTCAACCCTCCCGCCCCCTCCTCCTACTCCTCCTCCTCCTCCTCCTCCTCCTCCTCCTCCTCCTCGAACTCCTCCTCCTCCTCCTCTCCTCCTTCTCCTCCTCCTCCTCCTCCTCCTCCTCCTCTTCCTCCTCCTCCTCCTCCCCCCCTCGTCCTCCTCCTCGACCCCCTCCTCCTCGACCCCCCTCCTCCTCCTCTCCCCCTCCTCCTCCTCCTACTCCTCCTCCTCCTCGACCCCCTCTCCTCGACCCCCTCCTCCTCGCGCCCCCTCCTCCTACTCCTACGCCTCCTCCTCCTCCTCCACCTCCTCGAACCTTTCCCCCACAGCAAATCCGCTCCCGCTCCTGGGCGGGGCGAGCCACCGGGCCCCTGCGGGCGATCCGTTGGCGGTCGGGGGTCGCCGCGTTCCCCCCCCTGGCCTGGCTCCTGGCAGCCCCTCCTGGGCCCGCCAGGGGCGGCGAAAGGAGCTCGCCGCGAGGCCCCGAGGGCCGCGACCCTCCCTCCTCCTCCTCCTTCTTTTTCCTCCTCCTCCTCCTCCTCCTCCTCCTCCTCCTCCTCCTCCTCCTCCTCCTCCTCCTCCTCCTCCTCCTCCTCCTCCTCTTGGTGGTCCCACCCCGTCCTTCCCACGCCGTACCTGTGGATGGGAGGATAGCTTTCACAAGATGCAGTATGTCACAGTAAATCGCGTCCGTGGTTGTTGTTATCCGATGTGGCTGCTGCTGCTGCTGCTGCTGCTGCTGCTGCTGCTGGCGCCCAGTTGCGTGAGCTCGGCAAGTTGTGCACTGCTGAGGTCACTCCAACTCGTGCAGAATACCTAGACAGGATTTCCCGAGGTCTGCGGCCCAAGGTTCAAGTGCCAATGAGAAGCTTGTGCGTGGCCGTCCAGTGGAAATCAGCACGAAAATGGAAGGCTCCATTCATCTAACATCGGCGGTGGACAAACCTCCCTTTAGTAAACCTCCCCTTAGTGGAAACGGCCTGAGACCGAAACCGACGGACCTGGACCCGCAAAAAGACGGCCGCGACGCCCTCTGAACACGGCCAACTCCTTCATCGACGTGTCAGGGCAGGAGGTCTATCCACCTCCGATTAAACATCGTCTTGTAGCCAGAACTCCAGAACTCGCCCATGTCGATTGGTCCTGGGTACCCTGAGGGCAGCCGGCCTAGCAAGTTTGGGCAGCGGGCGGGGTCCCGCCGTCCGCGGGCCCGCGAGCACGTCCTGGACACCTTGGGCCTCGGGAGGGCGGACCTTGACTGGGTGCGAACCCGCCGCGACGCCACGACTCGTCCGCCCAAGACCCTCGAAGAGGACTCGGGTTCGGACGCCTTCGGTTATGTTTGCTCGCGCGGTGTTGGTCTTGGGCCCGTCCCCGACAAGCCTTCCCCCCGCTCACCCCTTCCGAAAAAAACCGCGACCACCACCCCGCTGGTCCTCGCTTCGTCCCCCGCGTACACACGCTTCCTCCTCCACCCTCCCTCTCCCTTGCCTCGCCCTCCTGCTTCATCCCTCTCCCTCTAGGTGATTCCACCCCCGCTGGTCGCACCCCCACACCCGCTGGGCCGGGCAATGGCGAGCCGAGCGCTTCGCCAAGAGAGCCCTCGCGGTCGAGGAGTTACAAAACTCGAGTGGTGCAACACTTGTGCTGGTGGAGGAGGGCGTCTCTTCAAAAGAAAGCTCTCGCCTTGAAGCCCCTGACGTTCGTCGTCGGCAGCAGCAGCCGCCGCCACGGCGAGCCGCCCGTCACACCCAGGGGGGGGCAGCCGGCACTGGCGCGAGCCGCGCGCCTCCGGCTGGCGAGGAGGGCGCCCCCCCCCCCAACGCACGCACGTGTTGGCACGCCCCTCGAGCGCTCTGTGGCCCCACAGGGAGCCTCACCAGAGGCCCCAGCGGCGGCAGCGGCCACACGCGCCCCCCCCCCCACCACTCGTGTCGGCACGCCCCTCACACGCTCCGTGGCCCCACAGGGAGCTCCACCGAAGGGCCCAGCGGCGGCAGCGGCCACATGCGCCCCCCCCACGCATATATACACACACACTCATGCCGGCACACACACACACACAGACGCACCGCGCGCCGTGGCCCCATAGGGAGCTCTTCCGCAGGCCCCAGCGGCAGTTGCCACAACCACCACCTCTTCGGGGCACCCCTCACGCGCTTCGTGGCCCCATACGGAGCTCCACCGAAGGCCCTGGCGGCAGCGCCCACATGAGCTCGCCCCCACGCCACTCCCCCGAATGCCCTGGCGGCAATGCGGCTCATTTCTGCGCGATCTTCACGTCCCCCCTCCCCGCTCGCTTCTGCGCGCCACTACCACCACTTATCCTTCGCCACCTCCTCCATCTCCTCCGCCTCCTCCTTCTCCTCCTCCTCCCTCTCCCCAACCTCCTCGTCCTCCCATTCCGTTTCTTCCTCATCGACATCCCTCTCCTCCTCATCATCCTTGTCCCCCCTTCCTTAACCTCATGCTCACGAGACTAAACACTAGGGGATAATAAAGTTCGGGGTTCAGGGGGAGATAATCAAAGTAGCCCACCAGACCTCAGCATAATCTCGAAGTAAGAGATTATCAAGAGGAGACCAAACCGAGCACGTTTTGAGACATCCTTGGCGTTTAGTCTTCATAGAAATATCCTCAACAACGGCTTATCTCGCTGGAGACATCCTCGACAAATCCCTCGATAATAAATGAAAAGGATAAAGATAAGAGGAAAGGAGGATAAAACAACAAATCTGAAGATTCAAATGTATTAAATTTTATTTACAAGCGCTTTATGAAAATTAATTGTTTTAAGTGCTCGTGTAGGGTAGCTCACGTGCCTCGTTTTCCCTGGATAATCAACCCCAGCGATAAACAAGTTCAGGGCGCCAGGGGGAGGAGGAGGAGAAAGAGATAGAGAGACAGAGAGAGAGAGACAGAGAGGCCAGGAAGGAGAAAGAGATAGAGAGACAGAGAGAGAGAGAGAAAGAGAGACAGAGAAAGAAAGAAAGAGAGACAGAAAGAACTACAAAGAGACAGAAGGACATTGGTTTCGCTTGGGACATCCTGAAACAACGTGTTCGCTTCGCTTGATGTTGTTATCTCAACATAAGCAGGAAGTAACTTCGATGGCGAACTTTTCCCGTGATAATGAAGTTCGGCCTCCGCGCCCCCGCGCCCCCGACCAAACTCTTATTGGTCGACGATAAAAAACTCTAACGACTTAAGGGGGGGGTACATTATTATCGTGGGCATGGGGTTATCATGCCTCTTTCCCTCATGCCTCCTCCTCCTCCTCCTCCTCCACCTCCTAGGTTTCCTTCTCGTCCGTCTTGCCTTTCTTCTTATAGTATCAAGGCCACCTTGATGGAGCCAGGGTAGATGGGGTCGGAGGATCGCGCCGAATCGGCAAAGCATCGGCGACGTCGGGATGAAACATATCTTGCTCCAGATCGCACCGCATCTCCGATACATCGGCGGTGCGGCGCGATCTTATGACCACATCAACTCCACCCCGATTGAGGGCCTGGGTGATACCCCCTCATCCTCTTCCACCTCCCTCTCCTTCTCCTCCTGCCCCTCACCTGCCCCTCGCTGCCTATCAACCAGCATGCTGACAGAATCTGTCCATGGCCCCTACTGGAGCCCACCCAGGCCAGCCCCCCTTCACCCTGGATCGTTTTCCGGCGGCCCATGGGCCCGAAACGGGTCTCCGGGGGCCGAAGCCAAGAAGATCCCCCTCAACCACCCCCCCTCGATCCCTGGTCCTCGACCCTCTACAGTAGGAGCCCGACCACAAGAACCCTTCCCCGAGAAGCTCAGCCCTGAGACCCCAGGAAGCCCATGGATGCTTGGCGCGGGAACGCAAGCGCTCTCCACGGCAAGACCCTCGAAACCCAAGAAGAGCCAGGACACCCTGGAGGCAAGCAGGGCACTTCTTGACAAGGCCCCCCCCTGTGCTTAGGTCGGGCCTGTCCCCCCTCCTGCTCCTCCTCCTCCTCCTCCTCCTCCTCCTCTCCTCCTCCTCCTCCTCCTCCTCCTCCTCCTCCTCCTCCTCTCCTCCTCCCCCCCCTCCTCCTCCTCCTCCTCCTCCTCCTCCTCCTCCTCCTCCTCCTCCTCCTCCTTCTCCTCGTCCTCCTCCTCCTCCTCCTCCTCCTCCTCCTCCCTGAATGCATGAAGTGCTCTCCCCTGGGCTATTCGCCCCTATCGTCGCCTCTGAGAGTTTAGAGGCCCCCCCGGTTCATGCTGTTCCCATCGCACTTGAGGACCACAGCCCGGAGACAACGTCGAGCAACCGGACGAAATATTGAATCAGGGTCGAGAACGAGTGTCGCCTCCCAGGGCCCGACACGTGAAAACCCTCCAGCTTCGGTGCTTCCTTGGTGCTTGCAATTCCTTCTGGTGATCAAAGCTGACGTACGTTGGAACATCGGTGGGGTACAAGCAGGTGGGGTCCGAGCAGGTGGGGTCGGAGGAACGCGCCGCATCGCCAACGCATCGGCGATGCATCGCCGATGCATCGCCGTCGCCGGCGGTGCATCGGCGACGCTGGCGTCGGGAAAATCGGGCTCCGCATCGAGCCGCATCGCCAATGCGTCGGCGATGCGGCGCGATCCTCCGACCCCATCTGCTCCAACCCCATCTGGGAGGCCTAGAGTTAAGTCGGGCCTGTCCCCCTACAGGGGGATTGTGGACGAAACATTTAGGACAAATCCAAAAATACCATTACATATTCAAAAATGGTCCAAAAACCCTCCCCGTACTATTCTTTGACTATTTGGGAATATTCCTCCTTTCGAGGGACAGGCCCGACGGAAGCCTAGAGCGTTGACAAGAGCATCGCAGGGAGGCCCAGCCGTGTCCAGAGAAGCCCCCCAGTGGGCCCGGCCCGAATAGGGCGAGGGACGCCCACACGGGCTTCGGCCGCCGAAGCCCGAGCCAGGACGCGGCCGCGCGCGGCCCAACCCCCCCCCCTTGGCCAGCATCAGGTCGGGCATGTCCTCCTACAGGGGGATTTTGGGCGACAAATTAAGAATACTCCAAAAACGCCCCAACAGAGTCAAACAATCATGTAGACCAGAAAATACTCCCAAAACGCCCCCAAACACGCCCAACGACAAAACGAATACTTCAAAAACGCTCCCAAACACTCCAAAAACGCCGCAAGATAGTCAAACAGTCATGTAGAAAATAGTCCCCAGACTATGTTTGACTACTTCTGCAGACTCCTCCTGCAGAGGGACAGGCCCGACTTCAGGCCGGCAGGGGCCGTCCGAGCGCGCAGGATCGGGATAGAAGGACAGCTGGGCGAACCGGGGATCGCTGAGATCTTGCGGCCCTGGGAGATGTACAGTACTCGGCCTGACCTCAAGAACGATGAGTAAGGAACGGAGCCCCTCTTTTTCTCCCCAGTAACCCGAGGAGGTCCGAAGGAACACCGGGGGGGCTCGCCGCCAAAAAGGCAGCGGAACGCACGCAAGCCAAAGGAACGACCGAACCCCTTTGGAAAAGGAGGCGTTCCCGATTCAAGCCGGCTCCTCCAGGGGGCGCCGCGGCGGTTCCTGCCTGGAGCGCCCTGGGAGCGTTCTGGAACGCTCTGGAGCGATTCACCCCGCTCCTAGGCCTGAATGACGCGCGCTGAGGGGGGGAACGTTAGGTTGGGACCGGCTCAGGAGGGAAACATCGATCGGCGATACATCGCCGATAGATCGGCGATGGGCTCCCCATAGCGAACCCGCACGCTCCTAGGCCTGATGGGCCATCAGGCCCCTGTCGGCGACGAATGGGCGATTGGGTCTCGCTGCGCTCCCTTCTGGACGCCCCCCCCTACTGAAGTTGCCCCTGTAGCCCTGCAGTCCCACAGAAGGCTTTCGGGTCATAACTCTGGCATCCAGCGACATTAGGCAGGAAAGCATGTAGGAACTTCCGAAGATGCCCGAAAACTCAAGCGTTAGGTCGGGCGTGTCCCCCTACAGGGGGGCCTGGGACCCCCCAAAAAAACACTCAAACCATACCCCTAAATTATCAAACATAGTATTAAAACAAACAAGAAATCTCGTCCCCCGACTATTTCTCGCTATTTTCTGATCTTCCTCCTGTAGAGGGACACGCCCGACTTCACTCAAGCGACCCCCGGGCGCCTGCCCCGCAGACACAGACACTCCCGCGCAAGGGCACCACCTATAGGCCTATAGGGTGCTGCGGGTGCGGCGCCAGGGCGCCAGGAATCCGCCGACCCTTCTGCGCGAAGACGCTGTGGTCCTCGTCGTCGTCGTCGTCGTCCTCCTCCTCCTCCTCCTTCTCCTCCTCCTCCTCGTCCTCGTCGTCGCCGTCGAAGCCGTCGTCGCCGCCGCCAGTCCAGAGGAGTTGGAGGAACGGGGACATCGAGAAGCGTCGTGAATCAGGGAGGCCGAAGGGGGCGGGGGGGCCAAGAGGGGGGGGGGGGGGTCCCGGGTCAGGATGCCGCCCCGGGGGTCCGGGGGGGGGAGGTCGCCACAAAGGAGTTCCCCCGGGGAGGTGCCGCCCTGCAGGGTGTCGGCGGCACCGGCCGCAAGGGGCCTTCGCAGCCCGCTCCGCTCGGCGCGGCGTGCGCTCGCGCGCGCGGTGCGGCTCAGCTCACCGAGCGCGCGCCACGACTCGCAGGAGTGCCTACTCGCAAACGTGCGAGAAAAGAACACATGTATGCATGGATGTAGTGTATCGTTGATCCCCAATGGCTGATCCAGGCCATTTGCGAGTATAGCTACTGTGCGACTAGTGGAAGGCTCTTCTCCAGCAACCGTGGATCCGACATCATGCCAACGCTGCCCCTGAGCCCGAACGCTACCCCTGGTCCCTGCGCCTACCCCCCCTGGCTTCGCGGCGCGCACAAGGGGGCTAGGTAGGGGGGGAAGCATTCTTAGCAGGAGGCCACTTCTTGCGACACTCCTCGAAATCAAGCGCAAGTTTTTCATGTTGGCCGATGCGCGTTACGCCGCCCACGGGGTAAGATTTGTTTGTGTGTGTGTGTGTTGCAGTCGTCATTGTCGGCGCGAGCATTGAAATTTGGTGGCCCTGGTGCGCCGCCAGGTCGCGGGAAAAACTTGCGTTTGATTTCGAGGAGGCATGTAGAGGGCGCCGCCTCACATCTAGAGACGAGGCCCGCGCCTTCTAGGAAGCAAGGGTGCTTCTCCCCCTGCCCCGTGGCCCCCTGCGCGCGTGGCTGACAAATGCTTTGGTGGCAGCTCATGGGAGCTTCCCATACCATCTTGCCGGCTCGTGCGAATTGACGCTAGTCGACGCTGAATCGACGCTATTCGACGCTAAGTCGACGCCAATCGACGCTAACCGACGCTGACTCGGCGCGACCTCCTCCCAGACGCTACGCGACGCAGGTCGACGCGAAAGACAGAATGAAAGAAGGTGCACCCGGCTCCCATGATCTGCTGCCGAGGCATGCCGCCCCCCGGGCCCTCGCAGGGCCAACGCTGCAGACGAAGTCGAGAGGGCATATATCGGGAGCGGCCAAGAGGGGGGTGTCCAAGAGGGGGGGGTGCAAATCATGACCGGCGGCATGTGCGCGGCCCAGCGGCGGGGGCCAGGGGCGTAAGGAAATCAGAAGAGGCGCCATGAAATCTGGGGAGACATCCTGGCCCCCGCCATGAGATCCACCCCCCCCGTAGTCACCACCCCCCTCCTTGCCGCCCCCGAATGCACCCTCCAGGCCCCCGTGGCCTGCTGCCCATGGAGCTCCCACGCACCCCCCGGCGCGCGCGCAGAGACCGAGGCCGCGGCCGTGCACGGAGGCGCTGCCGGCCTCCCCGGCCGCCAGCAGGCCGGGCCTCGGCGCACGGCGCGGGCGCCCGGCCGGGCCGCCGCCGCCGCCGGCCGCCGCCGGGCCCTCGGGCGCCTGGCGCGCGGCGAGCGGGCGCGCCGAGCGGCGGGCCGCCCGGCGCGGCGCGGCAGGCCGTCGCCCGCGGAGCGGCCCGGCAGGCCGAGCGGCCGCCGAGCGGCGCGGTCGATCGGCGCACATAGGCGCCGCTCGCCGCTCGCCGCCGCCGCCGTGGGCCGACGCAGGTCGCCGCTCGGGGAACGTCGTCGTCGTCGTCGGCGCCCGCAGTCGCCATCGTCGTCGTCGATCGCCGTCGTCATCGATCGACCGTAGTCGTCGCCGTCGGTGGTAGTTGATGATCCTGGATGATCGCCGTCGCCGTCGACCTCGTCCATCGTCGTCGTCGTCCGAAGTCGTCTTTGTCGTCGTCGCCGCCGTCGTCGTCGTCCGTCGTCCGTCGCCAGCGTCCGTGGTCCGTGGTCCGTCATCCGTCTTCCGTCGTCTGTCGCCCATCGTCGTCGTTCTCGTCGTCGCCCGTCGTCCGACGGCCGTCGCCCGTCGTCGCCAGTGTCGTCGTCGTAGATCAGTGCAGTCCCCGCTCGTCGATCGCTGTCGTCGTCGATCGCCGTCGTCGTTATTGCCGTCGTCGTCCATAGTCGTCATCGTCCGTAGATGTCGCCATCCGTAGTCGTCGACTATCGTCGTCGTCACCGTCTGTCGTCGTCGTCGTTCGTCTTCTTTCAACCGTCATCAGTCGTCCGTCGTCTGTAGTCAACGTAGTGATCGTCGTCGTCATCGTCGTCCATCGTCGTCGTCTGTCGTCGCTCGTCGTCCTCCGACGTCCGTCGTCCGTCGTTAGTCGCCCGTCGTCGTCGCCGTCCGTCGTCGTCGTCGTCCTTCCCTTCAGCGTCATCATCATCGTCGTCTTCGTCGTCGTCCGCAGTCGTCGTGATCGTCCGCCTCCTTTCGTCCGTCGTCCGTCGTCCGTCGTCTGTCGTCTGCCGTCCGCCGTTCACCGCCGTCGTCCATCGTCGTGGTCGTCGACATCCTCGTGGTCCTCTTCGTCGTCCGGTGGTCCGCAGTCGTCCTCAGTCGTCCGTGCCGAGGTCGCCGACGGACCATCCTCAGATGTGGCTCTCGGAAGCCAGGCTCGCACCCGAAACCGTGCGGGGGCCGCGCTCCCCTCTGCCCCGTTCGAGATCGAGCGCGCCCGGATCCAGAGAGAGCACCACTGGCGATTGAGCAGCCCAAGGCCCACTGCTGCGGGCCAAGCCCCGCTAGGGGCCAAGCACGATGGTGTTGCACTCGCCCCGCAAGACCTGGTCGGGAAAGAGAAGGGAGAGAGAAAGAGAGAGAGAGAGATAAGAAAAGAAATGTACACGCATAAAAGGACAGCAAGAGAGAGAGAGAGAGAGAGAGAAAAAAAAAAAAAAACAAAAAAAAAAGAAATAAAGAAATATAGCAAAGAACAAAAAGAACAAACAAGAGGGGGAGAAAGAGAGAGAGAGAGAGAGGCATAGACAGGCAGACAAACAGGCAGAGAGGCAAAGAGAGAGAGTCGCTCAACCTGCACTGAACCACTGCGACACTACGGCGGCAGTGGCGCGCAAACATGGCGCTTGGCCCGACCGTGCTTCATCATACCAATATTGGAAAGCTTCGCTGCGCTCGAGGGAGCTATAACCATGATACACAGCAGCCGAGGCAAGCCTACTTGCCCAGATAAAGAATAAGCACGTGAACACAAGGAACCATACTGCACACTTAATCAAAGCTGGCACCACAAAGCCCGGAACCCGACCGAGCTGCTCAACGTCAAATCAACGCCTCATTGTAATTAAATACCTCACACTGTAACGCTCTCAAGCGCTGCGGCCTTAACACGACCGCAAGTGAACGTAACCGCAAGCTGACGTTTCACACCCTGGCCTCCAAGCGCACGACCCTCAATTGAACACAAAATGGCCTGACCCCGTAAAGCATTGAGCTCGAAGCCCCAACCGCTAAAATCCGAGAGCACTTACACACGATAAGAAACCTGCTCCAGGAGCTCCGTCGAACTTCAGAATCGCACGGTGCCCCTGCGACCCCCAGGGCCCATCTGGAGGCAGGTGGTCGGTGGCAACTCATGGGAGCATCCCATACCATCTGGTCGGCTCTTGCGAATCGACGCTAATCGACGTTGAATCGACGCTAGTCGACGCTCGATCGACGCCAAATCGATGCTAAATCGACGCTAATCGGCGTTAGCCGATGCAAATCGGCGCTGTCTCATCGACTCTCCCAGACACTAATCGATGCGAATCGACGCTAAAGACAGACTTAAGAGGGCAGACAAGGCTCCCATGAACTGCTACCGAACCAACTGGAGACAACAAACCATCGTGGGGAGCCAGCATGCGGTCAAGTGCCTTGTCTTGTACGCCTATTGCAGAGCTCATCGCGGCGGCGCGCCCGGGGGGAAGTGAGAAGGAGACGGCCTTCTCAGAAGGCTCGGAGGTCTCCCGGTCTTCTGAGAAGTTTCCTGAGCCTTCCTGGGTAGTCGAAGCCAATCTGGCGCCAATCTGGCAGGCCCAATCTGGCAAACGGGGGCAATCTGGCGAGGGAGCCAACGCGAATCCAGTCTGGCGAATAACCCAAATCATCCAGTTTGGCCGGGCCAGATTGGCCCTTGGGGCCCAATCCAATCTGACAGTCTGGCCTTCGACTACCCAGCCTTCCCTGCAGGCACAGACAACTTCAAAGGCGCGAGGGGCTTCTAAGAAGTCCCGCTGCCTTCTGAGAGGGCCTTCTCCTTCTCACTTCCCCCCCACGCGCGCCGCCGAATGTCGCTTTTGGGTTCATAACTCGGGTCTCTGGCGGCCGTTCGGGACGATCCGGGCACCCCCGGAACGCCCTCGGCGAAGCGCAACCGCGGGAACGCATCTGGAGGGCGGAAAACCGCCCAGAGACTACGAAAACGCCCGAAGACCTAGAACCTCGAACCTCGAACCCGAAACTCCCTTCCTGACAAGGCCGTCTCCTTCTCACTCCCCCCCCCTGGCTCGCCGCCGATGTACGCCCACTGCAGAGCTCATCAGTCTCACTTGAGCAGGGGCAGGGACCGACCGTCCGGGCATTCCTACAGGCCTACCACGACATGTTCTTCGAACCCCAAAACTGCTCTCAGAACCAAAGCAGTAAACAATGTTCTCAGAACATGAACACGCCGTGCTGAAACGAGACAGTCCCCGCCAGAAATTGTCTAAAGACACTTTCGTGCAGAACGCAACACGGTTCTCAGAACATTACTTTGTGCGCCCCTGGGCGAGCCAGGACGCTTCGCTGCTGCTTGACTCACGCCCTGAGACCACGTTGCCCTGCGGGCGGCACGCGGCCGAGGCCAGCGGACGCGCCGGCTGCCGTGGACAGCAGGCCCTGGCGGGCAGCCCCGAGGCACGAGGCCCTGCCCTGGGGGAGACCGAAAGGCACCAATGCCGCTGAATTTCAACCCGTCTCACAAGGATGCGCGGTAAGGATGCGAGGGCCTCGGATCAGGTGGGGCCTGTCCTCCTACAGGCGGATTGTGGAGGAACAAATTAAAATAGTCACAAACAAAACTAGTCGAAAACTACTTTAAACAAAAACCGTCCCCGACAATTCGGTTTAGTATGATTGTATATTCCTCCTGTAGAGGGACACGCCCGATGTGAGTCTTGGACGCCCATTTCGAAGAGCTTTTCGAGCGGGGCGCGGCCAACGAGAGTGGCCAAGGATAGACCCGGGGGGCCAGGATGCAAGGGCACTTATTGGAGGCCTGGAAAGTGGCACCAACACCAGCACAGGGGGTTGCCTCCACATGGGGAAGATGATCCTAGACTTCGGTGTTGGTGGTAGTATAGTTCGGTCACCTTGGAAACCAGAATATCACCACCATCACCGAGATCGGGATCGTCTTCCCTCCGTGGAGGTACACCGTCGATCTTGGTGTTGGTGTCAACCTCTAGGCCTTGTTGACACCAACACCAATACCGGCGGCGTGCCTCCACCGAGGGAAGGAGATCCCGATCTCGATGCTGGTGGTGATATTCTGGCTTCCAAGGTGGCCGTAATATTACCACCAACACCGAAATCTAGGATCATCTTCCCCATGTGGAGGCAACCCCCTGTGCTGGTGTTGGTGCCAATTTCCAGGCCTCGACTGTGCTCCCCAGAGACCTCTCCAGGGGTGCGCTCTGACCAGGATCTCGAGAGGCGAACCCAGCGGTGGCGACGAGGGCCTCCCAGGAAGCTCCAGAGGAGAACGCTGCAGGAGCAGCGGTGCGGGTACCTTTTTCCCTCCTCTGATGACTCCCGAGCACCCCGAGGTACATGTCGTTAATTTCTAATCGTGCTCGTCTCTAATTGTGCTCGTCTCTAATCAGGAAGAGGCCCAGGATAGAACAAGTAGAAATGAAAGGATCTTGGCCCCCAAAAAAATCAAAGAACTCTCGAAGAATTAGACATGAACAATGTGTACCTTTTTTCCTCCTCCGATGACTCCCGAGCACCCCGAGACGCCAACACTTGGCACCCGGGTGGCACTAGGCCCGACACGTCGACAGCTACACACACACAACGCATCACCCCTTCGTACCTCCAAGCACCCGAGCGACCCCCCGCTCCGGCGCACCACCACCTAGACCCCAAGCGCCTTGGCACGCTCACGCGCTGACCCCCCTCATGGCCCAGCGCGCGTACGCCCAGACACGCGAGCGGTCCATCACCCCGAGTGCCCTGAAACCCTCATGCCCAGACGATGAAACCCGTGCACCCGACACCACGCTGCCTGACAACCAGACACCCCTAACACCATGACGACGCACTCCCCCGACGCGCCTCGGCCCAAAGAGCGGAGGCGCAGACCCCGGAACCCGAGCGCAGCCCACCAGTGCACACCTCGAGGAGGCACCGCTGCTCGTTCCACTGCGTGGCCCTCTCCCCAGGGCACGTTTGTGACCCTGATCCCGAGGCGAATCCAAAATGTCCAGCCGCGGCGACGCGGGCCTCCGAGAGGAGGCCCAAACGGAAGAAAACGAGGGATGGGCATCTCGACGGCGCGCCGGGGGGGCGGGGGGGGGGAGTGAGAGGGAGCAGGCCGCCTCAGAAGGCGGTGGGGCTCCTCGGAAGCCCTCCAGCCTCGGGAGAAGCTTCCCGCCTCTTCGGGGGGGAGGCTCGAGAACTCCTCAGCTGGCCCGAGGTCTTCCGAGCCTTCTGAGAAGGCCCGCCCATTTCGGGCGGGTGGCAGGGAGGAGGAGGAGGAGGAGGAGGAGGAGGAGGAGGAGGAGGAGGAGGAGGAGAAGGAGGAGGAGGAGGAGGAGGAGGAGGAGGAGGAGGAGGAGGGGGTGACCCGCAGGGGGGGTGAAGAAAGGGCCCTATAAAGCGGCACTCTGGGGCCCCTCTTTGGGGGCGCCTGCTGGCTCCGACAGGGGCCCTATAAAGTGCCCCTTTTGAGGGCCCTCTTCTTCACCCCCCACTCGGGCCACCCCCCTCACCAACATCAGGTCGGGCACGTCCCCCATCCAGGCGGATTTGGGACGAAAAAGAGAGCGTAGTCAAAGCATACCCCAAGATGCTCCAACATGCTCCGCAGATCTTCCCCAAACTGTGTTGTCTACTATCTTGGAAGACTGCCCCTGTAGAGGGGCAGGCCCGACTTAACACCACCACCCGCCCGATCCTTCTCGCGTTCCCCCTCTGGGCTCGCCGCCGAGCGTCGGTGACTCGGGCGCTGCCCCTGGCCAGAAGGTGCCCCCTGCTCTTCGCCTCCTTCTGGGAGGCCCTGGGGCCGCCCGGGCCCCGTGAGGTGTGCTCTGGAGGCCGTGGGGGGGCTTCCCTGGGAATCCAGGGGGGCGCCTTGGGCCAGGGGCAACGCTCTGGCGACACCCGAGCAGCCCCAGGTGTCCGACGGTGCGGTACCTCCAGAGGGCGCGGCCCCGCGAGCGCAGGAACGAGAGAAAGACCGACGGGAGTCAAGAACATCGGGGATCTGCTGCCACGGGTCAGTGCAAATAGGACGAAGCCAGGACGAGGACAAGATCGGGTGAGAGATCGAGAATCTCTGAGAACCAGCGGTTCTGGAGGGTGTCTCCGGCGCCGCGGCCTTCTCAGAGCGTTCCAGAACGCTCTGAAAGCGTTCCAGAACGCTCTGGAACGAGTTGTCCTCGTCTTAGCCTCGCCCGACCGAACCCAGGCCAGTCAGGCTTCGAGGGATCCTCCAAGATCCCGCACGATCCTGCAAGATCTTGCACGTTGGTCAGGGTCCATGCAGCCCTGGCGCTGCAGGATCCTGCAGGATCCAGCGCTCTGGCTGACCCCTGTTTGCATTGCCCCCCGTCTAGAATGATTAACCCAAAAAAAGACCCCTAACCCTTTGAGAGGGGACCAAAGTTAGGAAGGCCAAAACATTAGGGATGGGGGTCTCTTCTGCAGATGTACCAGACCAAACCACCCAGAAGCATCATCCCCAATGCGGAAACGAGGGGCCTCCCTGAGGCCACGCCCTCCTCTTGTCATCAGGGTTCGGGGGGGACTATTTTGTGCTCGATGCTCGAGGCTCCCAGCTCTCGTCGGGGATCTGGCCGCCAGGCTTTCCGGCAACTCGTCGTCTGCAGCGCTCGCGGTCGCCCGCTTATATGCGGACAAGATCATGTCCATATCCAGTGCCTTTTGGACTTTTTTGGAAGCGGCGCCACAAGGCCGAGGCGCACTGGATATGGATAAAAATCGAGCCTGTAGGGGGCAAATTTATCCATATCCAGTGCGCCTGGGGTTTCTTGGGAAGGGAGCCCGAAACTCCATACTGCAGTGGATATAGACGAAAGTTTTGCCCGCATTATGAGCGCGTCCGAGAGAGCCGCTGAAGGGGCGCGCCGCGCTGTACGGGCAGGCCGCGTTGCGGGCACACGCCGGCGCGGGCGGAGACGAGCGCGAGGGCGGCCGCGGAGGCGGGGCGTGCGGGCGAGGCCCCGGCCGCAGACGGTCTGCGACGGGAGGGAGCGCGCGGGCGGACTCCAGCGCCGTGCTTTTTTGTGTCTTCTCCAAGGAGGAACCAGCACACACACACACACACACACACGCATGCGCACACACACACACACACACGCGCTGGAAGACGGCATCACTGTCCAGCGGCAAGACGAACAACACACAAACAAACAACAACTACAACAACAACAACGGCAGCATCAGCAACAACAACAACAACAACAACAACAACACAAACACGAAAACAAACACACACACACACAATCAACAAAGGAACAAACAAACAAACAAAAAACAAACAAAACATCAACAAAGTCGTCGGAAATCTGAGCCTTCCTCCTCTGACAAAGGCCGCGCCGCGCGGCGCGGCGCCTGCGTCTTCCAATTCGTGGGGATGCCGCCCATGTTGTAATGGACCGTGGGCAACACCGGCGCCGGCTCCTGAGCGGCCCTGCCCACCCCCCTGACCTTCCAGGACCCCTTCGCGTCGTGAAGAAGCACAACGGAAGGTTTGTCGCTGTTTTCAGCCTCAACGGGCCCTTTTTCCGGGCCTCAACGCAACAGAACAACTCGGGATGAAAAGCCAGTCCCCGGGAAGGTGTCCAGACCTTCTGGCGTCCGCGTCATGGAAGAGTCACGACGTCGGGGGGGAAGCTAAGACATAGCAACTTGACCTTTCAATGTACAGTGCGGATACGGCCGCCGGAAACCCTCGCAAGAAGGCCCGCCCTGACAACCTGCGCGCGAGATGCACACGGGGAGGACCCAGAGCACCATGAACGCAGCAGTTTCTTCAGCGGCTGCGGGAAGTCACCGCGCAACCGCGAACAAACAACAGGGCCCCCTCATGAAAGGCGTTTGTTTTTTATTGACTCGCTCCCCCACTGCAAACCCCCAGTCGAAGCATTTTCGTTTGTACAGCAGCCCAGACATGGCCTTAGGTCTGGAGGGCAACTATGCCTGCACTCTGGGCGGTCTCGTAGCCCGCCGATCCCCGCCCACTCCGACCGCCCCGCCTGCAGATGCCCTTCCTCCTCCTCCTCCTCCTCCTCCTCCTCCTCCTCCTCCTTCTCCTCCTCCTCCTCCTCCTCTTTCTCTTCCTCCTCCTCCTCCTTCTTCTCCTCCTCCTCCTCCCCCTCATCCTCCTCCTCCCGATCATCACCTATCATCACCACCACCATGATCAGCATCATCACCACTATCACCAGCAACAGCAACAACAACCAAAGCAACATACATACAAACAATAGGAAAACAGCACAACAACAGCAAGAACAACAACAGCAACAACAACAACAGCAGCAACAACAACAATCATTATAAGACTGTTCGCTGTTACTTGCCCGTGTGTCATTCAAAACGAATGCCCCACAGTCTCGGTACCCGTCCTTTTCGTCTTCGATCACACTCCCTTTGAGGGATTATTTCTCTTTGCGGAGGGCGGCGGGCTTAGACATGCGGGCTAACCTGAACGGGCGGACAATCCGTCGTGGGCGTACATGTGCCCGCCATTGGAATTGGTGTGGGCCCTGCAAAGAAAGGAGGGGGAGAACGAGGGAGAGTGGGAGGAAGGGAGGGGGACGGACGAAGGAAGAGGGAAAGCGCCAGGAGAGAAGGAGCGAAGAGGGGGGCGATTGATTAGAGGCAGAGAAAGAGAGAAAGAGAGAGAGAGAGAGAAACAAAAAAAAAAAAAAAACATATAAGAGAGGTAGAGACAAAGAGGGAGAGAGAGGGAAGAGAGAGAGAGAGGGGAGGGCGAAGGGAGGAGGAAGAGGAGGGAGAGGGGATAGGGCAGAGAGGCATAAGGATGAGGGAAGAGAGGAGGGAGAGAGAAGGGAGGAGAGGAGGGAGGAGGGAGGAGGGAGAGGGAGGAGGAGCAGGAAGGTAAGAGCGTGAACGTTCGAGGAAATCCGAGGCGAAAGCGCCGTTCCTGAAGAAAGTCTCGGGCGGGAGCCCACGACGGGCGGGCGATCCCCTGACGGGCGGGTCGGGCGGGTGGGACATTCAAGCGGGATGTCTGAGTATGGCGATAGCGCGATTACTAAATAAATTGTAACGGCGTCGTTGGCGCAGCGTGTTTCCTGAGCGTCAAAAGCGCAATTTCTGAATAAATTGCATGGGGGTCACAAGCGAAAGCGCAATTCCTGCATCAAATGTGAGGGGTTCTCTGGCGGGAGCGGGGATCTTGATTAAATTGCAAGGAAAGCTTGATTCAATTGCGACGAAGTCTCAAGCGGGAGAACCGTTCCTGAGTAAATTATGGGGAAGTCTCAAATGAGAGCTGGGGTCCTGACTAAATTGCAAAGAAGTCTCCAGCGGGAGCGCCGTTCCTGAGTAAATTGTGAGGAAGTCTCAGGTGGGAGCGGGGGTCCTGACTAAATTGCAAGGAAGTAACGCGCGGGAGCACGGATCCTGACTAAATTGTGAGGAAGTCTCAGAAGCGGGGGTCAATTAAATTTGGAACAAGTCTCAGACGGGAACCGTTGTTGTTGTAATCCGGGGTTCAGGGGCCCCGTTTGAGCATCGAGCGGCGTCAACATGAACAGCGCGTCGAGGGCCACACTTTGATTGAGAACACCAGTGTGCACCGGCGGGGGGGATCAACAATAACTATTGTTCAGAAATGAAAGGTCAACATGAACAGCACAGCAACAGCAACAACAACAACAACAACAACAACAACAACAACAACAGCAGCAATCATCTTACGACTGTTCGCTCTTAGATGCTCACTCAACACGTATTTCCCAAACCCTCGATACCCGCCCTCTACGTCCTCGATTAGCCCCCTGGCAACCGGCGGGGCGGACGCGGACCGTCGGCCTGGCCAGCGGCATCGCTGATCGGCGGCAGCCCAACCCCAAGAGGGACGAACAGGGGACCGACCAAGACGACGACGACGACGACGACGACGACGACGACGACGACGAGAACGACCATGACGACGATGACGACGACGACTACGACGAGCGAAAACGAAAGCGAGAGCGAGAGCGAGGCCACGAAGGACAGGAAAGGGGCCACAAAGGGCGACAGCGGGGCCACGAAGGGCATGCGTATGGGGCCACGACGGGCGCGAACGAGCGAGGGCCACGAAAGGCATACGTATACTGGGCCGCAGAGGGCAAGGACGGGGCCACTGAAGGCAGCAGCGGGGCCACGAACGGCAGCGAGGGGGCCACGAAACGCGACAGCTGGGCCACGAAACCCATGCATATGGGGCCACGACGGGCGCGAACGAGCGGGGGCCACGAAGGAGTGCAACCAGTCCACGAAGGGGGCCACGAAGGGCTGCAACGGGGCCACGAAGGGCAGCGAGGGGGCCACGAAGGGCTGCAACGGGGCCACGAAAAGCAGCGAGGGGGGCCACGAGGGGCTGCGACAGGTCCATGGAAGGCATCGAGGGGGCCACGAGGGGCTGCAACGGGGCCACGAAAGGCAGCGAAGGGGCCACGAAGGGCTGCAACGGGGCCACGAAGGGCATCGAGGGGGCCACGAAGGGTTGCAACGGGGCCAAGAACGGCAGCGAAGGGGCCACGAGGGGCTGCAACGGGTCCACGACGGGCACCAACGGGGCCACTGAGGGTAGCAACGGGGCCACGTAAAACAGCGAAAAATCCACAAAGGGCGACAGCGGGAACACGAAGGGCATGCACATGGAACCACGACGGGCGCGAACGAGCGAGGGCCACGAAGGGCAGGGAGTCCTTTGCGTGAGCGCGACCCCTGTGCGTCTGAGTGTCGGGAGTTCGGCGCTTGAGCAAATTGCTGGGAAGTCCAACGCTAGATTACGATTCTGGAATGAGTCGCAAGCAAATCTCGAGCGAGAGCGCGACTCCAGAGCGCCGAGAAAGCGATTCCTGAATACGTTGCGAAGAAGTCCCCAGCGAGAGCGCGATCCCTTAGTAAAATGCGAGGAAGTCTCAGGCGGGAGCGGGGGTCCTGGCTAAAGTGTGAGGAAATCTCAAGCGGGAGCCGTTGCTGTTGTAATCCAAGGGCCAACAACGCAGTTTGAGCCTGGTGATTCCCCATACTACAAAACAGGACGCGAGCCCCGGGGGAAACACTTCAGTTGAAAACACAATGATCACCGGCGGGGGTGATCTACAATAATGATTTTTCTGTAGTGGGAGCTCAATAACAACAATAACAACAACAACGACAACAACAACAACAACAATCATTTCAAGACTGGTCGCCCCTATCTGCTCGAATGTCCAATAACGCGTATTTCGAAAACCCTCGATACCCGCCCTCTTCGTCTTCGATCGAACCCCTTTGGGGAGGTAGACCTTTCTTCCCTGCAGGCCAGGCCCGGGCAAGCGGCGGGGCGGCCGTGGACCGTCAGCCTGGCCAGCACGCAGCGCTGATCGGCGGGGCGGCCGCGGACCGTCGACCCGACCCCAAGAGGGACGGACAGGGGACCGACCACGACGACGACGACGACGACGACGACGACGACGACGACGACGACGACGACGACGACGACGACGACGACATCGACGACGACGGCGACGACGACGACGGCGACGACGAGCGAAAGCGAAAGCGAGAGAGAACGACAGCAGGGCCACGAAGGACACGAAGTAGGCCACGAAGGGCGACAGCGGGGACACGAAGGGAATGCGTATGGGGCCATGAAGGGCGCAAACGAGCGGGGGCCACGAAGGGCAGATAATGCGGGGCCACAGAAGGCAACGATGGGGCCACTGAGGATAGCAACTGGGCCACGTAGGACAGTGAGGGGTCCACAAACGGCGACAGCGGGGCCAAAAAGGGCATGCACATGGGGCCACAACGGGCGCGAGTCCTTGGTGCCTGGGTGTCGGGAGCGCGGCGCTTGAGCAAATTGCGAAGACTTCCAACGCAAGGGCGCTATTCTTCAGTAAATTGCAAGCAAGTCTCCAGCGAGGTCGCGACTCCAGAACGCCAGGAGCGCGATTCTACATTGTAAGGACGTCCCAAGCGAGAGCGCGATTCCTGAATAAAATGCGAGGAAATATCGGGCGGGAGCGGGGGTCCTGGCTGAATTGTGAGGAGGTTTCACGCGGGAGCCGTTGTTGTAACCCGGGGGCCATGAGCGCAGTTGAGCATCAAGACTTTCCCTGTCAAAAAACAAGGTGCGAGCGTCGAGGGGCGCACATCTATTAGAAAAAATAGTATGCACCGGTGGAGGGATCAACAATAAGTATTGGGGAAGTGCTAACCACAGCGAACCAGCCTGCCAAAGTTCATGGAACGGGGGGGCTCGGAGGAGGGCTGAAGGAGCAGCGGAGGGGGGTCGCGGGGGGCAGGGGGGCGACGGGAGGAGGCCACTGAACCAGCGCTGGAGGAGGAGGAGGAGGAGGAGGAGGAGGAAGAGAAGACGAGGAGGACAGGAAAGGGTGGGAGGAGGAGGAGGATGAAAGGAGGATGAGAAACCGAGGGAAGGAAAAGGGAGACGAGGTGATG